TCTCTTTCACCCACAATCACTTATGGGCATCTGAAGGTTGCTGAGTGGTGACTAATATATAAAGTTATTAAATGAAGCCCTAGCACAGCAATTAGAAACTTTAACCACAGTTTTGCTCAGCACGTCCTGCATGTTCCCCTTTTCCTCTGAGATAAATGCCAACGTCTGACTGTGCGTTGAGAACAGACCCCAGGAGTGACCACAGCCCACGGCTCATGAAGAACGATGGTGTCAGGAGGAGGAAATATGGACAGAAAATAACAGTGACCCTGACCCTGGACGAGGACAGCCCACGAGGGCTTCCTCCCCCCCCCCAACCCCCCTGCCCAGCCCTGGGGAAGGGCCCCTTTCTCCTCGGGGCCCTGGGTCCCCGGGAAGGAGGCCTCCCACCACCAGGAGTGAGTCCCACACAAGACAGAACCGAGTCCCGCACAGAAGGGGACGCGCCCCCACGGGCTGTGCCTGCTCTGGCCCTGACCTGAGCCCTGACCCTGGTCTAAGAGTTGGTGCAGGAGCCGCCACTTGAGTCCTGACCACGGACCAGCCCCGGGAGCTGTAGTCAGACTCCCCCTGAGGACGCCGAGTGGAGACTGAAGGTGCCCTGAGGTGAGGGGAGGCCATAGAGGGGACCCTGGCCTGGCCCTGGGGCAGGGGCAGAGGACAGAGCAGTGGGAAGGCAGAGGTGGCCTCTCATGGGTTCTGGCCCCCATGTCACTCAATGGTGTGTCTGGGCCTGGACACTAGAGGACGCTGGGGGTTTGCTCCTGAGGATCTGGGTGCTCAGAGCTGGGACCAGCCCCTGATAAAGCCCAGGACCCTCTGCTCAGGGCTGTCAGCTGTGACTTCCCCAAACCTGGGCCCACACAGCCCCTCCCCCGCCCACACCAATGGCCATCCTCAGGCAGAGGGCCCTGCCCAGGGCCCAGGGAGGGATCAGATAGATGGGGTCTCATTTGCATGTGTGGACCCTCCCTCCTGCAGACTATGAAGAGGGGAAGGGAGAGGTGTGGGAGCTCTGCTTCAGCTGTGGGGCCTCAGGAGGCAGGACTCAGGGATGACCTCCACCATGGCCTGGGCCCCTCTCCTCCTCACCCTCCTGGCTCACTGCACAGGTGACTGGATAAGGGGACGGGGAAGGGGCCTTGGGAAGACACATGGGCCCTGCTTCCTCCTCTTGTCTCTAGACCCAGACTCAGCATCTCTGTGTCTCCCCCTCTTGCAGGATCCTGGGCCCAGTCTGTGCTGACTCAGCCATCCTCAGTGTCGGGGTCCCTGGGCCAGAGGGTCACCATCTCCTGCACTGGAAGCAGCACCAACGTTGGGTATGGTGACTATGTGTCCTGGTACCAGCAGCTCCCAGGAAAGATCCCCAAACTACTCATCTATGAGAGCAGCAAACGACCCACAGGGATTCCGGACCGATTCTCTGGCTCCAGGTCTGGCAGCTCAGCCTCCCTGACCATCACGGGGCTGCAGGCTGAGGACGAGGCCGACTATTACTGCGCGTCCTATGAAAACAGTCCTACTGGTACTCACAGTGCTGCAGGCCTGTGGGGAAGTGAGACAAAAACCCCTCTGGTCTGCAAGGGGGTGAGCTCTCCAGCACCTGCCTGTTTAGCTCAGCCTGTGACCTGTGGCTTCTGCTTATTCCCTCGCTGTCGCCCTGGGCCAAGCTTCATGGGGACCCTGCCTGGGGGTGAAGAGTCCTCCCTCCCCTCCGGCCTCCATGTCACTCAGAGCAGCGCTTTCCCAGGCTCAGGGTCCTGGAGGAAGGGAAGGCCTGTCCCCACCCTCGGGGCCCATTCCCTCCCCCTGGGCTGCACTCACTGGGCCTGTGAGGCTGAGATGAGTGACAGCTGGTTGGCCCCGCCCCTGCCTGGGGCTCAGCACTGTGTGCTGTGCTGGAAGGACCCCTGGCCCCGTTCAATCCCATCAGGATTTAGTCCCTTTAAGCTGTGCGACTGGTTTCCATTTGCTCTGTGATTTTAAGCACAAAAATCGGCCATTCACAGCTGTCACTGTAGCAGATTGGGGGGTGCCATGGTGGGCGCTGAAGGGGGTGGTCCCAGAGGGTGAATGGGTCCAGGAGGAGACACTGCCAGCTGTGACTATCTGGCTCTGGGAGTGTGGACAGCATGGGGACCCGGCAGGGGGCGCTGTCACACTGTGTCTGTGAAAGCAGCTGAGAGACTGGATCTTAACTGTTCTCAGCACAAGAAATAGCAAAACTTGTAGCCACGTCTGATGGCAGAGGTCAAGGAGACGTATTCTGGGATGGTTTTGCAGTTTACACCTCACAGCGTCATTATGTCGTACACCTGACACTAATTAATGTCAATTACATCTCAATTAAAAAATAAATTAAAATAAATCTGAATCTTCTGTTTCCCAAAAACCAGTAGGTGGAAGTCTATAGCAGCTTCATTAACCGCCTAGACCAGTGTTCAGCAACTGTGGCTCTCGAGCCACAAGCGGCTCTTTGTCCCCTTTAGTGTGGCTCTTCCTAAAATACCACGTGCGTGCATGCATGTGCAGTGTACGTGAGATTAAAACTTCGTGGCCCATGGGCAGAAGGCGGTGTTTATGGAGACCACACTCAAGGGGCCAAGAGCTGCATGTGGCTTGTGAGCCGCAGTTGCCAAC